TGAGGCGCGCCCCGAGGGGGCGGCCGGGGTCGCTCCGCGCGGCCCGCCCCCGCTCACCTTGACGGAGAAGACCAGCGCCATGAAGCCGAGGCAGCAGAAGTTCAAGTAGAGGGTGGTGAAGACGGACCAGAGGACGTGGTCGCGGGGCGGGGGCTGGTAGGGTTGCATGCTGATGACCGTGGAGGTGACGGCGGCCCCGGGCGATACCACGCCGATCTCATGCTCTTCCTTCAGGTGCTGGTAGTTGTGCTGCGGGAAGGGCTGGCTGAGGGCCGGGAAGGGGAACTGCGCGTTGTCCATCGTCTCGCCGGAGCCTGCCGCTACGCACTCCTGAGCAGCTCTGGGCTGGGACAGGCGTGCGCCCTGATCAAGGAGCGAAGGGGTGGAGCCCGGGAGGGGCTGGGTCCCTGTTTCCTCCCTTTATAGTGTCCCACCTCCTCACGCTTAAGTTTCGGTTTCCCAGCCTGCTGAGAGCAGTTTGGAGAACAGAGAGAGGATCCAGCTGGGATCCTAGGGCCCTGCAGACACAAAAGGCCTAGGGGTAGGTGCCTGATATAGGACTTTTCACACTTGGTCTCTGATCACCCTACCTATGAGCTTCAGCTGCTCAGCCAACAGCCTGGAGTGCCAGCCCCCTAAGTGGGCCACAGCTAAGAGCACAGATTGTTTAGCGTCACTTTTATCCCCCCCTCCCCGCCCCCTGTAGGCTACCGCTGGGTGGGATGGAGGCCTCAAGAGAGACAGGCCCAAAGGGCTGACAGGCACTGCACCCCCATACACGAAGGCATCTGCTTCTAGCGCTTGGAGCACGACACATACATGCTAGGATTTTTGAGAGCCCAAGGGATGTAGACACCCAGCTTCCCTCCAACTAGACCCAAAACGGGATCACACATCTCACGCTCCAGGACAGGTGTGGAACACCCAGTCATGAACAGCTGGAAGAAATCTGACAGGTGCATAACAGCAGTTTGGTCCCATAGACTGTACATCCCCCTTTGCCTGCAAGGTAGGATCCCTGATGAAGCATAAATCAAGTTTAAAACAAATTAATTTAAAATTTAGAAGCTTCAGGGGGTAGCCGAGTGAGTCTGTGCAGGAAAAAAACAACCAATGGTCTGGTAGCACTTTATAGACTAGAAAAACATGTAGATGGTATCATAAGTTTTCGTGGACACATTTTGTTAGTCTATGAAGTGCTACCAGACCATTGGTTGTTTTTAATTTAAAATTAATTGGCATTAGGTTTAAAACAAACCAAAGCAAGTATTTCTTCATGCAATGCATAGTTAACCAGTGGAACTCCTTGACAGAAGATATTGTGACTGCCAGGACTTAACGGGGCTCAAAAAAGAGCTAGATAAATTCATGGAGGGTAGGTCCATCAATGACTACTAGTGAGGGTGGATAGGAATGGTGTTACTAGAGGCTAGGAATGGGTGACAGGAGTGGGATTGCTTGAACCTGTTGTGTTCATTCCCTCTGGGAGCATCTGGCATTGGCCACAGTCAAAAGACAAGATACTGGGCTAGATGGACTTTTGGTCTGACCATTCACAGTATGGCCATTCTTATGTTCTCAAAGCCCTTTATAAGAAGGGGTCAGTTATCATTGCCTTCCTTTTTGCACATGGGGAAACTGAGGTACAGGCCCATGAAGTGACTTGCCCAGGGTCACCCACTGAGTCTGTAGCAGAGCCAGGAACAGAGCCCAGATTTCTGAATTCCAGCCCAAGCTGCTAACTCAATCTGGCTTCTAACTGCAGGTAAGAGTGTGACTAGGACCCTCAAAATGTAGCCTACAACCTGTGGGGTTGGCAATAGCAGTGAATGCTGCTGGGCTGATGTGAAATGAGGCAGACTTGGGGGTGGTCTTCCAAGGCTTGTCCTGTTTCCATGTGTCTGCCCACCTCCCGGGACCTGCTGAATTCCCATCTCATGACTGATAATATCTTGCCAGATTGGAAGAAGTGGCGCTGTCCTTCACAGCATAACCATGTTGCCGTTGTTGGGCCCAGAAAAACAAGGCCTGGTCAACTTTATGCTAAGGAAAGTTAACAAAGGCTAATTTCGTAGGCCTCTGAGTATTCTTGACCAGAACCAGGAAAGTGGTTCAGACAGAGGCATGCCCTCCATGCTGGCTGAGGTTATAAAAGTAAGATAAATGATAAATTACATATTTGTACCAACTGCGGCTTGCTTTGGGAACTGGTCAGAAACTCCCTGTTTTTGTTCCCCTTCGCTAATCTTACCTCCCTATTTTTTGCTCTTTGTTTGTACCCGAATCTTTTGTCTCCTTGTTCCTGGTACCTACCTTTTGTGATTGATAAGAAAGTTGCTGATGCATTATGAAGCGCTTCTGGCCACAGTGTATAGTTGGCTAAGATATGCATAGATATTTAAAGTTTCTAAAAAGGGGGTAAGTGGCTTGGGTGAAGAGCTTATGACGCAACGGAACTGTCTTTATAAGCCTGCCTGTTACTAAAATCGGGGCTGGTTCTCTTCAGAGACGGGCCGCTCTCTATTGTTGTGTGCACTCTTCAATAAAGAGCTTGTGATTGGACTTTGCTGGTGTTGCCTGTCTCTTTGCGGTCAGACAACGAACCAAGCCGTCTGGGCTAGAGTCCCTGACACCGTGCCCTCTCCTTGCGTTACGCTTAGTAGCTCTGCACAAAATAGAGCTGTGATGGATAGGCAGGCCAGCACTCGGTGACTAAAAGATTAAACTCAGAGGTAGCTAGGGGGTGTTGGCAGGGAACCAGAAGAACCAATGGAATACAGTGCTGCAATTTGAATGGTAAAGATTACCTGCTTGCCGTTTCTCTTTGTGTGATTTTAAACCAGGAGTTGAGAGAAACAGATGATTTAAATCCAGGTAGGACTACCATGTTCCAAGGAATACTGGTCATGGAAATGGACTGAACCATGAAGAGATCGTGGGTACATAGGGAGAAATGTATATTTAGTTGTGATCAGGTTATTTTCTTTGTTTTGTTGTTTGGCTAACTTCTGTGTGCTAATTCATGTGGACTCTCTTCCCCCGTGTATCTAAGCTACAGCCCAAAGATACCATGTTTCTTTATGTTTTGATCTGGTCTTTTCTTAGTTGCTTTGTAGCACCTAGCAACCAAGTATGTTTGATCAAGTATATCTTTTTGTTTTGTTAATAAAATCACCTTTTTTAAGGAGATGATTTGATTCTTATGTCCTGATAAGTAACGGGGGTCTGTGTGTGTGCCTGCCTAGACTGAGAGGTCAGCTATCAAAGACTGCAGTTTGTTTTCTGTGTTTTTTTCTTTTTCAAGCTTTTTTGTGGTAAAAGAGCTTAGGGTAGGCCTTGGGGAAAAGTTCAAGTGTTTCTTCCTGGTTTTCAGGGTTTTAATTCACTTGATGGTGGCAGCCTATCTCCCCGGGCCAGTGAATCTGTGACCTTGGGGAGTTTTTGTAAGCAGAAGCCTATAGAGGCAAGGTATTTACAGACTTTGTGGGCCCTCACCTTCTGCACTTGGAATGCTGGAGTAGGGAATAGACCTGACAAAAGCAAAGGAGGCAACTCACTTATGTCTGAGGTGCTTAGTTGAAGTGGTTCCTGTGGCCAAGAGGTGGCCTTGGGTGAGCAGCATCTGACAGGAGCAGGCCTCTAGGAGCCAGGCAAGGGCTCAGCCATGGAAGCTGCTTTTCCTGCTCAGTAGAGACAGGGTGTAAGTGATGCCTGAGGCAGCCGGAGAAATCTGGAGCTGTTTGTTTGATGAGGGATTAGCCTGTTTGCCGACTTTCCCTGCTGGGTGGGGTAGGTAGCTCTGGTGAACCAGGAGCTGTCTGCTCAGGCCCTGCTGTTCACTCAGGCCCTAGGCCAGAGCTGCCTATGCCAGCAAAAGAGGGCCAGCACTGTAGCTCTTCCCCAGTTCAGCCCTGTGACTGTGCATTGGGAATCTATGCTGTGCTGTATCCTGGAGAAGCAATAAACCCTCTCGCTGTGTCTACACTGCACCCCTTTTCCAGAAAAGGGGTGCAGTGTAGACACAGCGAGAGGGTTTATTGCTTCTCCAGGATACAGCACAGCATAGATGTGATGTGGACATAAGGAGTCAGGGGCTGGCAGCCCTAGACCCCTTGGGACAGGGGTGCCTGGGCCCCTCAACTCCCAGCACTCTGCTTAGTCTCTTCTCTTCATGGTTTTCCAGCCAAAAACTGCCCAGTTCCCAGGCCCAGCTCCCCAGCCAGGTGGCCGTCTCCACCTCCCTTCCTTTGTCTCTCCCCCTGGGAAGAGACTTGTTACCTGTTCAGGCTTGTTACCTGTTCTAGGTGTCTGGGCCAATACACATGTATGGGGTGAGTCGGCGGGAGTCACACATCACAGCGTGGGGGAACCCCGGGTTACAGAGCAGACAGAACCCCCACTACATCACAAGCCCCACCAGGGTTGGTAAGCATGGGGCCGCTAGGGCCGCCAGGTGCTCTCACCAGCCCCAACAGGCTTAGAGGATGGTAAAGGAGCCTGTTCCCTTTCTGCACTACTGCTCCTGCCCTGACTATCCCGGGTGAAGCTGGCCGAGGGTGGGGAAAGAAGGCGAGCTAGAGGGTTAGCTAGCGTAGCTAGTCCCAGAGGCTCAGTTACAGACTAAGGAGCTCTGAGAGGCTCCCCCACTCCTAGCGCCCACCCAGTGGCAGAGGTGACGTGGGACAGAGTCAGTGTTTGCCTGGTGATCTGTCACAGGTGCGGGACAATGACAGTGACCAGTTCCTGCTGGGTGCGGTTCCTTTCCTCTACCATGAGATATGGTTGAGATATAGCTGATGTAGCGGGTTTCCCCTTCCCGTGTGCTTGTCAAAAGTCAGAGGAAGTGGTGCAGAGGTGTGTGGTTTGCTGTGAGGATGTGATTCTGCACCTTTCTGCCACAGGACTCTTTCCTCTGTGCCCTTCCCCTAGCAGCCTGCTTCTCACTCGGCAGGAGCGCAGAGCACACTGTCCAAGGAGCCAGGGTGCAAATGTTGCCTGTCTCCCTCCCCTGCCACAGCTGGAGCTGAACAGGACCCAGCCTGGGGCTGGGAGCAGCCCAGAGAGCATGTTCATGCCTGGGGAAAGGCAGAGCTGGTGTTTTGCATGAGCTGATCTCTAAAGCCCTGTTTCCAAGAAATCTCGTTGTAGCCCGTTAGCTCTCGCTTCCCCGACTTGCATGGGAAGACCCACCTTTCCAGCTGAGTAGGTTTCTCACGTCAGAGAAAAAGTGAGCAGCAGAGCCCATGTGGGGGCGTCAGGGAGAGAACAAGCTGGATTCATGCAGTGGCTGTCGACCCAGCAATGCACTGGCCTCTCCCTACTGCTGCCCCAGCAGCCCTACCTCTGTTCTCCCTTGGGACCACCCACATATCCACCCTCTTACTCTTTCCAGTAAAGCCCCCTCATGCCCTTTCCTTGGCACAGACCATTCGCCTCTCTTCTCTCACCCTCTCCCGGGCCCGGAGTTTACAGACTGGATTCTGCTCCTCTGTATTCCTGACCCCAGTGGGCTCAGGAGTCCCTTTCTCTCCCACTCCCCCCAACTCTGCCTTCTCTAGTACAGCTCCCCTGCATCCTCTGCTCAGCTTCCTCCTCTCTGCCATTTCTCATGTCCTGTCCTTTCTTGGCACAGCTGGCCTTGGCTCTTCCCCTTTCTCCCCCAACCAGATCCTCCTGTGAGAGAGAGAGGCTTTTAAGAATCCAGGATTTAGCACTGATTGGTTTTGGTTTATAGGCCATTATAAAATCGAGGTGTGTGTGTGTGTGTCCTTCTTGCTAAATTCAAAGTCAGATTTCTGAACCCACCACAGCTGTAGGGTACATGGAGATGCAGTGTTGTCAGCCTCCAGCATTCAAAGCTCAGGAGTCAGACCCAAGAATAATCAGGATGTTGATTTCAGCAGCAGTTTACTAAAAAATGGTTTGAGGTTCTTTCATTGCCCGCTGGTTCCTGAGTTTATAGGTTCCCTTGGATTTTCCTCCACAACTACAAGGGCTAGGAGGAGCTTAACTTTGGGAAACAAGCTCTCTCTCTCTCAACTTTTTCCATGAATTTTTTTGACCCCGGTAGCTGGAGTCTGCGGATAAATGCCAAGTGTTACAAGATTCACAATAAACACCACAGAATTTTGCAACTCTGGATCTGGGATTTACGTTTAGAGACATCTCTAGCTCGTGTGTTTATGTGTCTATGAGTGTGTATGTGCATGTAGGCGTGCAGATGCACATGTGTTACTGTTCCCTTCTCCCATGCCCCTTCTGCTTTTTCTGAACCACATCCAGAGCCCACAGAAATAATGGAAAGAGTTGCAGCAACTTTGATGGGCCTTTCAATGTTTCCTATGAGCTGTGCATTTGTGCATCCATTTAGGGCAGATTTAAAAACCACCCAGCTGATTAGAAGAGCTCCTTCAACTGGGTGTTGTTTCTACTGGGGGTGCACATTCGCCCATGCATCAGTGCACATAAACATTGATTCTACATATGGATAGAAAAAAATCCACACCTGGATGGGAAAGATAAGAGGGAACTTTTAAGTCTGGATCAAAATGTCTGTGTCCCCCTCGCGCCAGCTCCTTTCTGTGGGTGCTGCTCTGGGTGTGCTGCAAGTTGCTCTGTCTTCTGGGGGGAAGGAAGGTAACGCAACAGAACTTCCTCTTATGTCCTTTTTAATCGTGCAGCTTAGTTTACACACATCAGGAGAGCAACAGCTTCGGGCCCCTTTCTCAGACACTGGGGCTGAGCATACCTGGGGCGTTTTAACACTGCCAGGGACTCTTCTTGATTAACAAGGAGCTAGAAGACTGCTTCAGCTCCATCCCAGCTGGGCAGTCCTTTTTAACAGATTCTTGCTTAACATTTCTGTTGCAGTAGCATCTCAAGAAGTGGGCTGTGCCCAAGAAAGCTCATGATCCCATCTACATGTTTTATCAGTCTGTAAAGTGCTACCAGACTACTGGTTGCTTGTTAAGTTTATCCTGTACAGACTAACTCGGTTCCCCCTCTGAAGCTTCTGAACTTGACCAGTTATGATGTAAACTTCAAAGAAATGTGCAGAAGGATGCAGCAGCAGACGTCCAATTAAGTAAAGTCTGTGAGTACAATGTTTCATTTCTACTATTATTAATCACCATGATGATTATCAATAATATTAAGTTGTATCTTTTCAATTATGCAAATGGGCATTCTTATACAGCTCTTTGTTGCCCACTTGTTCTGAATTTGGATGTAGTTTGGCTCTTTGTTTTGAAAAGGTTGCTGATCCCTGAGCTAAGCTGACACACAGCGCTCTTGTCCCAGAGGAGTGTCCACATAAGGAGTTGCACAGTATACAGGCAGTCCCCGGGTTACGTACAAGATAGGGACTATAGGTTTGTTCTTAAGTTGAATTCGTATGTAAGTCGGAACTGGCTCCAGATTCAGCCGCTGCTGCTGAAACTGACCAGGGACTGACTACAGGAAGCTGGAGGCAGAATTGCTCTGCCCCCAGCTTCCTGGAATCAGCCACTGATCAGGTTCAACAGCGGCTGGATCTTCAGCCCGGGG